TTCAAATTTTGTAGACATTTTTATTAAATTAATTTTCTTCGATTTTGTAGCTATCAAATATACAAACTACTTAATTTGCACAAAGGATTAAAACCGTTAATTTTCAAAAAACAAAAAAATTAAGCTAAAAAAACGACAAAACTTAAAAAACAACAAAGATTTTTTTTCTTTTTCGAATACAAAAACTACAGTAGATGAGGTGTAAAATGTCAAAAAAAAAGTTGTTTTGTATGGTGTGGGTGTGGCCATGTAACTGTACTTTTCATACGTATAAATAGCAGGTGGCGTTGAAGTGGGTGAAGTGGATGGAGTTTTGTGTACAAATATGAAAGTAATAATGGTATGCGATACATATGACTCTGCCAAATTCCTGTGATCTTTGCGCTCAATATACTCATGGACGGTGCTGTTCTCCGTGGGCCACTTATCCAGCAGATTGTCTTTGACTAGACGATGATCGAAGATGCGATTCTCGAGATATGATGTGGCGTGATATTTCATAATGGGTGTTTTTTGTTTTTTTTTGTTTTTTTTTTGAGTGATTGTTGAATTGGGTTTGATTAATGCTTAGAACTTTTATTGCACAAGAACTGCACTCACTATGGGAATACTCGATTTCAACATTAAATCTTTAACCGTTTCGGTTTTAGGATAAATACTAGGATAGCGTGATAGCAAATTTTTATCCTCGACGGCCCAGCAAAGCATAGCAAAACGCGAAGTAATAACGTTTACGTCAAAGGATGTGCTAACAGAACGAATTATCCTTCCGAAATGAAAAAATTTCGAATACAAACGAAATTTTTTGCGCTAATATGAGACAGAGTGGATGTAATATGTATGTAAATAAAACTCTTATTGACAAAACCGTAATTACATGGAAACCAAGTCGTTTTTATGCATATTTTGCATGATGTTAGAGATACTTGTAAACACACAAACGACTGTTTGAATGTAAAGTCAAGTGGTTTTTTTATGTTCTATATAAACAATCGTAGGTTATCGAACGCGTTTATGAACGAAATTTGGCAAGGTTAGTTTATATGTGCATACATATGTACATACGTAGGTATTTATGTAAATATGTATGTATGTACTTGCAAGTTGCATGAAAATGTGGAATGTCCAAGCAAAATAAAAGGTCATAAAAAAATGCACCAGCAAACACCGTGCGACAGTAAATTTTATTTATTATTTTATTCAAAAAATTATTTAAAAAGGGCAATGCAATGATGAACAACAATATGGATGTCAAATAAAAGAGAAAATTCTGTAGAATTTAAAAACTTTAAATTTGTTTAGCACAAGTACGAACAGGTATTGACAATGTCCTTTTTGAATTTTACAATTGAGTATCCTTAAAAATTTTCAATATTTACTTTTGGAAAAAGTTATGTTGAACACTTATATTAAAGACAACTCATTCTTGGTTTTCGTTTTTCAAACATTATTTGTTTAGCATAAAAAATATGAATTAATAGGGCATTTTCAATACCATTTGTCCTTTTGGACTAAGAATTTTTTTTAAGTCTACATAATTTTCTCTTTTATTTGGTATAAATATTCTATATATATATTTTTTTTTTTTTTAATTAATCGTATCTTTCGCATAGACTGAAGCGCACTGTCAACGAACTGAAGGGGACTTACCAGTGTGGCTTTAAGATGGCAAATCCACCATAGATCAGGTATTCACAATACGCAAAATCTTGTATTTGTCGATGTCTGAATTTGGTATCCCCGCGAAATTAATACGGTTGTGTAAAATGACGTTGAGCAATACCACCAGCTCCGTCAGATTTGCTAAGGACCTATCCGAGCCATTTGACACCAAACGGGATTTCGTGTGATTTCACACGATACTTTATCCTGCCGAACGAGGACGAAACGAAATATCTGCTGTCACCAGACAAACAGTCAGAGCATAAACGCAATGGTACCCACGACACTGTTAACAGTTACAAGTTTGAATAATCTAAGCTTGTGCTGTTATTCCAAAATAAGTTAATAGTAAAAAAACTATTTTTAAAGCAAATATGAATGAAATCGGACCATAAATATTGGTTTACCAAATATCCTGACTCCTGCGCCACCTATCGTCAAAAATTTGTATGGATTTATTCCTTTTCATCTTATTAGTATACGTTCTAAATATGAACCAAATACATAAATATAATACAAATACGGGGTTTTCAAATATATCGACTCCTGTGCCACCTATCAGACTAATTTATCTTTCGTATTGCATTACCATCGGGTTCTGAGCTAAATCTGAAGTTTCTAGTCTCTATGCCATCGGGAAGTTGGCGGAGTTTCCGAGATAAAGATTCTGGAGTTATTTCACTAGACAGAGCAGGCCCTCTTCTCCTGCTCGAAGAAGGCCATACCGTTTGGTTCCAGAGTCGCTCAGCATGGTCTATATCTAGTCATCAAGTGCGACTGCTCATGCGAGTAGTATAACGATGAAGTTGGCTCTGTGGTACATGTGCTGCCAGAGCGCTTTGCTGGATTTCCCAATATAGATGACCCGAACCGACTTTAACAACTGCCGTGCATACTTCGGGAGATAGCAATCGTGTTCGGCACGTCGTGTTTTGAGGCACGTGCAATTTCGAGCCTTCTACGGATTGTACCTGACGCATCACGTAACATACTCTTGCTGAAGGTGTCTTCGTTATTATCCATGAATTTGGAAAAAATGGTTTTTGGAGAACGTAGCGTCAATCACAAGGAGATATCTTCTAGATCTACTCCTCTATGATCAGAGCGAATTGCGGTTTTACATCAGCGCTATGGTAGAGCAGACTCTCGATCAATAATGGGGGAAATATGCTTGCTAAACTTCAAAGTACAGTCGCCGTTGGCTGAGCAGGAGCTTGCTTCATTTATCATCACTTTTCACCTTTATACGAGGGCATTCCTTAAAAGCTCGCTCTAGATTACACATTGTCGAATCTTTTCCAATGGCTCCAAAACTGGCACGGGGTCAAAAATTTTATTCACAACCCGCAGTACTGTGTCACAACCGAGGTATTTTCAATTCTCAAAGCCATAGATTGCGTGGTGGAAAATAACTGTTTGGAGAGGGCTCAGGTATTACCTGGTCCGCAGCCAGTTATAGCACTGTTACCATCGAATCCACCGCCAGAAAATGTGGGAATATTTCGTTCAGCAATAATTTGGAAGCTTTGAGGGGCTGCAGATGGACAAAACTCGCTGCCTCAATCCCAGAAGATCTTGCAAGATACATATTTGCTTTCATTGAGCACACGACACAACTTGAGCGGTTGCTGACTGGTAACTTCTCGTGGCGCATACACCCGGCTGTGCTCGGCATATATGGCACACCCATTTGTCCTTCCTGCCTTGAAGATGATAAGATGTCTGAACACTTTTTGTGATTCTGCCACGCCTTTGCAGAGGTTAGGTATGAGGCCTTTGGCAGAGAAGTGTTGAGAGACGAGCAATGGAGGAGGAGTCATACTCTTAATTTGGTGCATCTGATTCTCCGTTATTGTGTTACCCTAAATTAGGAGGTAGCAAGTCGAGATAAACGGTCTTAAGCGATTTCAATCACTGAGATTAAATACGATGCAATGTTAGTAACAAGAACTCATTATGGACTTATTTAATGGGTGTTAGTCTCGTTGCCGTTAGGGTGCTCTTTAGGTCTACAGCTCTATAATTAATTCTCAAAAGGTGTTGTCATACCTTTAAAGCTTTTGTAGCGCTAGATGTGGTTTCCTAGACGGAATTGAGCTGGAGGTTTTTTGAGCTATCTACACATAAGCATAGAATAGGCCGCCTACCTCCTTAATTTCAGCAAAGGCAGGTAAAAGGTAAAATAATTATCACGCTGAAAGATGCATGCACACATAGCCTACCTCTGTTCCAATCCCTTCGAAATTACGTCATTGGAATCATCAATTTTGAAAGGAAATTAGTGTAGAACTAGGAAATAAAGCAAGCTGTGGTGACTCCAATCTTAAGAAATGTTCCCAATTATGTTGATACGTAGACGGTTCGGGTATATTCCGAAGATATTGGCAACGCCATCTTCGGACCCGAGCCCAGGTTGTCGGTTCCAATCCAGTAAGTTTGTGTGCAAAGAACTATCCAGAGAAATATGCTAATTGGGGCATGATCGCCTTAAGTCATGAGTCAACCATCACTTATCGCAGCTCTGGGTACTGGGCGATGACGACAAAACGTAAATTCGGGGACAGGCGGCATTGCCATGAAGGTTGCAGCAACAACAACTACGAGGGTATGAGTTTTTCACCTGCAAAAGGGGCGCTCACTAACGAAGAAGCGGTAAGAAGGAGCGAGCAGTGATCTGCCGAGAAGCAAACGACTGCGCAACGGAAGGCGAAAGAGCTACTGAGAGGGTATATTAGTAAATATTACATAATGTACCAAGAGGTAATCGTATTTAAATAGATCATTACAGATTAAGAAGTCATCTCTCCGAATGCTATAGCATCGCAAGGAAAAAGGAGAGAAACCTCGGGTTACCAAACAAAGTACATACACTCCTATTCACAACTCAAATCATATATCATAATTTACCATTTAAAAAGTCTACTTTAGGGCTGGAAATATCCTTATATTCGGATATCCGTTCGGATATTCGTGTGTACTGATACGATCTGGATAAAGCCCCCAGCCCTATGGCCTTATTCATAAAAAATAAAATAAAGTAGCTTTATAAAAGGTTTATAAATTGAAAATGTATGAACACGTCAATTTATAAAGCTATTTAAACGTACTTTATTTTTTATGTATAAGGCTACTAGTTTACATACGACGTAGAAGATCCATTTAAAGGACATTTACCTTTGAATACAGAGTGCAGTTTTCAAAAACGTATATTATTTTTTATACCTTTGGAATGGAATAACAATTACAAAAATCGGCCCCCAAATGAAAAGTTAAGGGAGAAAAATAATGTTTTTACATGGCGCCGGTAATATAGCTTTTCTCATACAAAGAAATTAAATACCTAAAACCGAAAAACCGAGTAAGTCATATTATTATGCATTATTTCCATTTGCGATGTTTTTGAGGCCCCTTAATAATAAAAACCCTCCCAAACAAAACTTTTACCATGACGGTGTCTCCGGCTGTTTGCGTCTACAACTGTCAAATCTGTTTGCCAGAATAGAAAAACACACCAAAACCACGGTGAAAAGTTAAAAACTATTGAAAAATATAAATACATATAACAAATAAGATTAAAATAGAAGCTGAAAGCAGCAAAACAATGGTGATTGAAAGTTCATCTAATGGCAATGAGGGCAAATCCAATAAAGATTCGGAGGAGCCGCTACAAGCGGAGCCAGAAGCTGACGTCGACTCGGTGGCCGCGAATGAAGAGGAGCGCCAAGAACGCGAGGAACTTAATAACTTTATAAATGAATTACAATCAAAAATTAAAGCTAAAGCGCAACTGCGCGTTGAAAATCTTAACTGTGAACATCCTGGTGATGGTTTCTTTGCCAAACTAGATTCCAGCTTGAAGCGCAACACGGCATTTGTCAAGAAGTTGAAGCAGTTCACCGCTGCTCAATTGGATGCATTGCTGAAAGACATGTGCGCCCTAAATTTGAGTAAATACATCTCAGAAATTTGTGCGGCACTTTCGGAGGCAAAGTTAAAAATGACCGATGTACCGGCGGTGGTAACACTCTGTTCCCGCTTACACCAAACTTACGCTGACTTCGACACGCAATTTCTTGAAGCATGGCAGAAAATTCTTTCTTTGAAACCAGGTGAAAAGATCTCAAATCCAAGTAAATTACGTGTGGACTTGCGCTTATTTGCTGAGCTTGTTAGCTCGGGAGTGATCAGTGGTAAACAGGGGCTGCAATTACTTGGATCCGTGCTCATCAATGTGATCTCGCAGGATAAAGAAGATCATAGTAACTTCTCAATCATATTGTCTTTCTGTCGACATTGCGGCGAGGAGTATGCTGGGCTCGTGCCACGCAAGATGCAAAATTTGGCAGAAAAGTATGGTGGAGTGGTGATTCCTAAGTCCGATTTCCTAGCGCCCGACAGACAGCAAAATTTGCGTGGTTTATTAAAGGATTATTTCAAAAATTTATGTAAGCACTTGCTTTCCGAACAGCAGGAGCTGTTAAATATGACCAAGAGCATACGGCGAACTATGGAATCAAAAGGTAAGCCACATGCATTTAATTAAGGATTGTAATTTTCAACATTTACCCCATTTCAGGTGAAATCTCGAATGATAAAAAAGAAAAATGCGAGCTAATGCAAGCAAATTTCGACAAACTACTGTCGTCAGCACAAACGCTCTCCGATCTACTCGATGAACCTTTACCGGAGCTTGCAACAGAATCAGAAAATTGCAATCCGGGTACGGTTATCGAAAATATGCTCGAAGTTGCCACAATGGGAGAACTAGATCCATGGGGCGATGATGAAACCAAAAGTTTTTACACAGACCTGCCAGATTTACGGCAATATCTTCCGAATTTTTCTGCTCCAAAAATCGATTTGGATCAAAATGAAGAGCCCACGGAGATGACGGAGGAAGCACTTGATGCGGATATTGATGTGGAGATGGATATAGATGACCCTCCCTCAACAGCATCAGATCCGCCGAATGACAAAGACGCGGAGATCGCAGCCGAACCAGGTAGTGAAGAGTCGGCGACGCCAGCACCGTTACCAGACAAAATCGCAAACGCCCTAATGGAAGCTGGGCGCATGGGTGCAGGGCAGGTGTCCCACAGCAAGCAACATTTCGATCAATTTTTGAACAATTTAAATAATTGTGTCAATAAAGAACTTATTGACTCGGCAGCAATTGAGTTCCTGCTGAATTTCAATACAAAAAATAACCGTAAAAAACTCACGAAATCAATTTTCACAGTGCAGAGGTAACTCAAGTTTATTTATATAGAATTAAAAATTAAAAGAAATCTTTTTTTTATCTCAGAACACGCTTAGATTTGCTGCCGTTCCTATCACGTTTTGTCGCTATTGTCAATCTTTGCAATACGGACGTTGCCACCGACTTGTCGGAAATGCTGCGAAAAGAATTTAAATGGCACATACGCAAAAAGAATCAGCTTAATATTGAATCGAAAATCAAAATTGTACGCTTCATTGGCGAGATGGTTAAATTTGGTCTCTGCAAAAAGTTTGACGCGCTCAGTTGTTTAAAGATGTTGCTACGTGACTTCCAGCATCATCAAATTGAAATGGCTTGCGCATTTATTGAAGTCGCAGGCGTATATCTCTACAACTGTCGTGACTCCCGCTTGCTTACGAATGTCTTCCTCGATCAAATGATGCGCTAAAAACCGCTACCGCTTTGGATTCACGCCATGCCGCGCAAGTAGAAAGTGTTTATTATCTGGTCAAACCCCCAGACACCATAAACAAGATGCTGTGGTACGTCCGGTAATACATGAGTACATACGTCATCTGATTTTCGAAGAGTTATGCAAACAAAATGTAGATCGTTGTATAAAAATGATGAGACGTATCAATTGGGAGGATCCAACAGTGAGCAGCTATGCCATAAAGTGTCTGTCCAAGGCATATTTGCTACGTTTTCCGCTCATACGCTGTCTTGCTGATTTGGTGTCAGGTTTGAGCTCATACCAAGAGCGGGCTGTAACCATGGTTATTGATAATGTTTTCGAGGATATACGCGCTGGTTTGGAAATACACTCGCCAAAATTAGCACAACGCCGCATAGCAATGGCCAAGTATCTCGGTGAACCGTACAACTACAAGTTAGTGAGTCGACCAATATTTTGAATACACTTTACTCGATAATCTCACTGGGCGTGTCAACGGAAGACGGTGTATACTCAGAATTAGATCCGCCAGACAGTTTGTTTCGTTTGAAATTGAATTGTGTTTTGTTGGATACGTGTGGACAGTATTTTACTAGTTCAATGAGTCGCAAGAAGTATAAATGATCGTTCGAAAATTATGAAAATTGTTTTGTAATATTTTAAATTTGCAGACTTGATCTACTTCTCTAGGTGTTTTTTCAACACTATTATTGGTATAAAAAATCACATCCGGTGTTTAGTAAAGTGGAAAATACTTCGGATCTTTTCCCTATACTGGTGGATCATATGTATCGCGATTGCTTGGCTAATGTACGACCGAAATTGAAGGTATTTTTTGTTAATTGTATTTCTGGAACTAAAATTTGGTATTGAATAAGAATTTCATTCACAGCTGTATAAAAGTCTCGAACAAGCCAAGGAAGCGATTGAGAAACTAAAGGAAGAATTATATCCGCAATTAAAAGAAGGCATGCAATTGCAAACTGAAGGTGAGAGCAGTCTCGAACCTATACGCGAAGACAGTGAATTTGATGATATGGTGAGTAGCAGCCCCTTTTTATGTGTACTAAAATTTAGTTTGCACAAGCATTTATCCTTGGCGATCGAGGCGAAATATAGAATACATAAAATAAATACTAATAACCTTTGATTTAAACATTCCCCTACAGCTCAGTGACGATTCCTCTTCTGAACGTGAACCACGCGCCCGTGCACCCGACGTTGGAGGAGATGATGATCCCAATACCGAGGATGCCAACAATGCCAATGAGCTGGCCAACACAACTGACTGGACTGAAAATGAATTCATGCTCGAAGATTGTGAAAGTCGTGTGCCAGAAAAATCGAAAGAGGATATGGAGTTCGAACAAATGTTTGAAAAAATGGCAGCAGACAGTTATCAGGAGCGCATCAAAGAAACTGTTAAACCAAATACGAAAGACATACCGGTACCAATGATGGCTAGAACGAGTAAGAAATCCTATGAGCAAATTACTACTCCGAGTGGCAATCAGTCGTGTAGTGAAAAAGAGGCAGCAAAAAGTACCACTGCCAATGCTGCTGGCGGTGCAGTGCCATTTGTGCTGATGGTACGTGGTGGAAAGGGAGGCAAACAACAATTTAAACAATTTGTGGCCCCATCCGATTCGCAATTGGCCATTAACCTGAAGCTGCAGGAAGAGAAGACACGAGAAGAGAAGGAAAAGGTAAAGCGTTTAACGCTAAACATAACCGAACGTATAGAAGAAGAGGACTATCAGGTATGCGTGTGTAAAAAAAGTGTGATAAATATAGAATTATTCCGATTTTCTTTTGAAAATAGGAATCTTTGATGCAATCACAACGCAGCTTGTCGCAGAACCATTATCAACGCCCGAGCAAGCCAAAATTCCGACATCAAAAGGGTGCACCAGATGCAGATTTGATTTTCAATTAAACGCGTATTGGGGCACTCAAATGGATATCTTTCGTTCCGATATATGCAGGGTTAAAATACTGGCCGCACACTGACATCGCAAACCCATGCATTTGCAGTTGGCTCGCACAAAAAGTTGTTAAGTTGTGAGTGAAAATGACGAAGCTATGTGCAAGTTGAAGTTGAAGAAGTAATATGTATGTGTCTGTATGGTTTGCGTGGGGTCATCACCATTGAAGATGATAATTAAAAGGAGTACATTTAAAGTAACAACTGAAAAAGGAAATAAGTTATTTTTGGATTCGTTAAAAATGTAATGCAGTAAAATTTACTGAATAAACTATAATAATTAGAACAAAAGGTCATTTGAATTTCTACAGGGACAAAAAATAACTGATATTTTTTTGTTTATTTCTTAAAACTTTGAATCATTACGAAACCGTTACTTCAACCTTCAGCAACATTCCCCGAAACTGGATGATGTTCAGCAATGTGCCCATGTGATGTACTGTGGTGAGAGACTGTCTTGCTGTGGCTAGGGCGGTTCTCGATACCCAAGCCACTGCCCCATAACTCACTCTTGGTCGTACTATCTTGATGTACATCCATTTCAGAACCTTGATGGTGACATCTAAGCGAGCAGCAGCATAAGGTTTTCAGTACCTTAAGGAATTCCTTTACCCACAAAATTTGAAATTTCACTTTTTTAACTTAATTAGAATTTATTAATATCAAAATAAAAACACACTAAACAAAAAAACTGTCGATCTTACATTTTTCTAATACGTACATATTAAATAGCAAAAAAGTGTATCAACTACGATTTTACTTATTAAGCTTGGTACCGCTTGTGGTTAATGTTACTTGTATTGATCAGTACAAAATTAATAGTAAAAGTTGAATATAAATACATAATTATGTCGTCAGAACAGTAAAAAGAAAATAATACATTAAAACTGTTCATCAGCTTAAAGTTAAATACAAGCGAAATTACAAAATGAATTTTCAAGGCTCTTGACTATTATAATTTTCCTAGTTGCGAGGCTTCGCAAAATTAACAAAAAAAAGAGTCCGTTACCTCTTGAACTAAGGAGCGAAATTTTCAATGGTAGCGAAACATTATGCATTTTTAACGATTTAGTAAATTTTTGTAAAAAATTCTCTACTCATTTGGACTTATTGCAATTTTGGTTCATATGTTTTTTTTTATTTTACGAAGTGTCAATTTGGCGTAATTGGGGCAACTACCGACTCACCTGTAGCGGTATGTAATTCAACGTACATACATATATAATATACTTATGAACTAAGTTAATATTAATCTTTTTGGAAAAAATAAGTCAGCAAACGACTATTTTTTTTTTTTTTTTGAAAGTACATTCATTTTCTCATTTGTTCTGAATTGTCGGTATGATGAAGAATTCTTCTTGATTTTTTCTATGGACTTTTCTGATAATAAATTACATGTATGTATAAAATTACTTTAGAAATTTGTAAATCTTTTCACTTTAAGTAAAAACATGTTTAGTAGGCACGCTCGTAGTAATAATTTTAGGCAATATCATCGTTACAAAATGTATTATGAAACATTAACTCGTTTTGTGTTTCGTTAACAATTTCATGGATTTTCGTTTATGTGTGCGAATTCTGTTTGTTGCAAACAGGCAATGCTTGCATATGTGGCTTTCAAAGTTTATAATTTGTATGCATGTGTTTTGCTTACTGTATTTGATATATGCCATCGGAATAGGTAAATTGTAGAGTATAAAACTTGTTTTTTTTTTCAAAAAATTTCACTGTAGGTGCATAAGTATGTCTATTTCCAAGGCACATTCATTATTTGTTGTTAAGTCTCTTTCATTTAAATTTGTGAATATGTATATATTAATGGCAGTATACTGTTTAGAAAATACCTTCACTACACATGCTAAAGCACACAACATTTACGTGCACTTAAATACACACATTTAGGTGCGCATAAATACTAAACAAAAAGAGCTTAAGATATACATATGCGTTCCTTTCTGTAATAAATATTTTTCTTTACTTTTCACTTAGATGCACGCTCCGTTTGACATAAACTCCTTAACGTATGGCAATTAGAGAGAAATTCGTAACTCAAACAATGCAACATTGCCCGAGCAAATATGTATTAATTAGTTTACAGCTCCTTCCCCGGCTCTGCTGCAAAAGCCATTAAAGTACTTTACTTGCCAGCGTACATTGGATTCTTGAAAGTCGAGGTGGCTTGTTTGTAGATTGGATTCTCACCCTGAAAAGATATAAAAAATTAATATCATAACGATTTCTCTACTATGATTAGGCGCGTAATGTGCGGGGTACCTAAATCAAAATTTAAGACAAAAACAAAAATAAAAGCAAAATGAGATTTATACAGCTTTCCGGGAATTTAAAAAAAACTCCGAACGGGTACGTTATTAGCCTCGGACAAAGGTTGGAGAAGACCGAGAATGAAAGCGCGCAGCTAGCTGTTGAACCAGATTTTGCATTAAAGCTTTTATCTTATCTAATTTCTGCAAAGGAGACTAATGCAGATCTGAGTCACTTTTTGCTTTTGTATTAAGCAAGGGTTCGGCTACTTTAAATCTGGTTCGTTGTATTTCAGTGCCGTGACACCACAAAAACCGATGAATCTGACAATTCCACCAAAAATATATTATTGTGATATGCGGTCTCTGCATTTTCCTCATATACGCATTCAAAACTCTGATCTAAACCCATATACCTTTTACGCCAAAAATTTTACGATATTTTGTGTAATTCCCTTTCTCAAACTTACCGTATCCCACTTGGCGTTCATGCGCTCCTTCTCGAAGCGTGCAAACTCACGGCGATCGTGTATGGTTGTTAGTAATTTCCACAAAAGCAATATGGCCAGACCCACCAAGACGATAGCGGCTATGACGCCCAATACAATGCCCAACATGAACACCTTGGGCGGGCATTCGCGCTCTTGCTGTGCGTGCACTTCGATTTTGTCGTTCACTTCACTATATTTAAATGTAAATTTGCAGTCATCTTCATCATAGAATATACAAAGCTGTTCATCTTTCTCTTCATCAATTACGATTTTCTCCTCGCCTATGGGCACAAAAGTATCAGTGCAATTAACGGCACAGTCGTTCTCGTCTTTCAGTGGGCCAGTCTTGTACATCTGACATTGCACACAATCCTTCAGCTCGTGGCAGCGTCCTGCACAAGTGGGACATTTCTCGCAGTATTTGCCAGAATATCGGCCCTCGTCGGTAGATTTACATCTGCAACGAAATTTAATAAATATAACTTTATATAAACACCGCGCATGTACTTACTTGCACACACCGCATTCGCATTCGCCATGTCCGGAGCAGATTTCACCACCATTTGGCGGAATGCAGGTATCATTCGAGGCGCGGCAATCACACGCAGAACCCGTCCAGCCTGGCTTGCATACACAGTGATTGCATTCGCAAGTGCCATGATCGGGTCCAGAGCAAAGCAAGTTCTTATGACGTTCGCAAGAAAAGTTATCACACTCACAGAACTTGCCCGAAATAATTTCCTCTGGATTTTGACGTTTCTCACACTCGCATACACCGCACAAACAAGTGCCGCGATTGGTACAGTCCACTTGTGTCGTATTATCCGGACGACAGCCCAAATCATTATCTTTACCTGTGTGCACATCGCTCGTAGAACACTCGCAATTGTGACCGAAATGCATGTCATCACACTCGCAGATGCCACACATTAACGTACCATGATTGTTACATTTGGATGAATGCGCCTCATAGCCTATGGCGCCGGGACGTTCGCATGGACACGAGCAGAGCATTTGCAAATCGATTATCAAGCTTTCATTAATACCAACTGGATAGATTTGAATGACTTGATTCCATTCGCGTGGATCTGTTGGGCAAGAAGTGACCAAGATTTGTGCCGTGAAGTTAACAACGTCGCCAACTTTGAGACCATCGCATTTGGCGGTAGGTATCTCGGAGCCACTATTTAGACACGCCGAATGATAGGTCACCTTCACGTGACTAGTGGCGTTGTCCTTCATTTCAATGGATGAGGAGATTTTCTGCAAAAAAGGAGCTGTTGCTACTAAAAGAAAAAATGCTAAAATACTTTATGCCCGCCCAATACTTACGCTGTACTCAGAGCGTACCAGATCGACCACGTTCGATGAATCCTCTGACAGCACCGCGCTAGAAGAACCCTCAATGTGTTGCGAAAGCTTTTCATACACGGAGTGCTGATTGGCGGTGACAGCGAAGATAACGTTAATCGAATTTTGTTTCACCTTGTGATTGATTTGTGAAATGCTGGGATAATCTTGTATAACCGAGTGAGTGTAAAGACCATCGGCGCTTAAGTGACATTCACCATCGTTGGGGGTAATCACACCGCCAAGCTGGCAATGGAAATATAAGGAAACATTTATTAAAACTAATTCAACTGTGATTTATTTTTCATTTATCTACCTTGCCATCACCAGCATAATGGAAGCCAGCATCTGTTGAGAAGACAAGTAGACGACGCGCTTTCTCACGCCAGCCGATCTGCTGACGACAAACCATCGCTTGCATGATGGCATCAAAGCCACCTTCGGGAGCATCCAAGTTGCCAGACACAGCAGCGTCACTCACTTCGGACTAAATGCGGCAATTTTGATTGAATAGGGCGAAACATTAGTGAACTTGAAACAATATGTTTTTTTTTATTTAATCGAAAAGTATTAGCTTAAATGGCACACTCTTGGGAATGGTGTTTGGTTAAGCTAGCAAATTAATAAATTTGTTAATCTAATTTTGCATTTTATTATATTTTAGTTGCGATCCCGTACGAGTCCGGACTAGTCAGAATCCGTCAGATGTTACTGGAAATCGATCCCGTACTCGGTTCTCTGACTATTGAGAGGACAAAAAAGAGAGTAAATTCGGTTCTCTCTCTGTCAGAAGTTACCAGTTTTAGTCCGAGAATTTTTTGCTGGTAAATTCTGGTAAAAGTGTCAAACGATCAGCTGTAGTGTGTTTGGCAACCAAATTGTAAACAAAAGAAAAGTGCACTCTGCTAATTCATGTTGAAAAGTATTTAATTACTTGTTTAAGTGGATTCTAATGAATTTGAAAGTATTTTTGGTTATTTAAATGCGTGAGCTGAGTGTGTTTACATACAAAATAAGCAAAAATTTACAACCAAAATTTGGAGGTTATGTTGAAGTTGACAGAAGTTACCATTTTTTACTAGAAAGCGATCCCGTACTTTTCAATGTTACTCTCTCGCTCTGAGCGAATTTTTATTTTTTGACAGTTTTACTAGTCCGAGTCCGAGGAATACGGGATTGCACCTTTTATTTAGGTTTGTGTCAAATAAAATTCGTCGAA